TAGGGCGAACGTGGACAGGGCGAACGGACCCGGATTCACATTTAGAATTATTTAATCCATAAAAACACAGGTGAGTGATACAGGTCGGTAATTTGATGTTGTATGTCTGTCTCCTTTTATAGATATTGGACTGATATTTGCATTTCTCCAGTCAGATGGGACAGTCTAGACAAAGCTGGAATATGTGACTCACTACTGCTGCTAGTTTCATTGGGCATAGTGTTTCAATACTTTGTTTGCGAATCCACCTGGTCCGCTAGCTTTGTTGATTTTTAAGTTTCTCAATACTTTTTCTTCTCCTTGTACTTCGATGTTAATGTTGTTCATACTTGGGTAACTTGATTCATGTCCCTGATTGGAGTGCGCCGATTTAAAACGGCGATTCACGTGTAGAAAGCAAGGTACTCATGATAATGTTGGTTTCATTCCCTCGACTTACTTTTCCTTTTTAGAGAAATTTATCTTATTTTCTACTGACTACAGACTGAATTGCTAAATATTGGGTATAACCTCTGTTTTGTTTATAACGTGAAAACAAAGAAGCTAGTTATCACTCGTTCAGACTTTAAACAAGGTTGGAACAAAGGTCAAACCCTCTTTATGGTGTTTATACCTGTATGGAGGGATAATCCTTCTATAGATGGATAACATTATCTCTCTATAGAGGGAATTATTTGTTAAGACTGGATTTAAAACAAAACATGCCAATTGTGCATTTTCTTCTTATTACGGCAGAAACCAGCAACATTTGATGCACCAATTGATGTACTTAATTTGATATGCATATGACCAGTTCACTGCTAAACTGACTGAATATGCAATCTATTGTTCATCATAATTGAGAGCTGTGATGATCAGGTAAAGTTCACACAGTTATGCCTCAATGAACAGATATGTTAGATTTAACCTAAGATTTAAAGGTCAACTGTCCCTTTTGTTGTTGATCAGGTGTTAAGATAGGTACACAATAGATTGCAAGTTCTGTCACTTTAGCAGAAAACTGGGCTTACCAATCTTCAGTAAAGTGCATTAATTGATAGATATATACTGGTATACATGGTATAGATTATAGCTAATATAACTAGAAAATGCCAACAAGCCATCTTCAAGCTTTAAAGCAACAAACTGTTCACCAGAGACCAAATGAAGTAGAAGTAAGCAACTGTCATGACTACGTCTGTCAAATATTTGCCACTGGATGTTAAGCAACCAACAATCAATCACTGTTTGTACAGTTTTCAAAAATGAGCAATTCTCATACTTATAACAAGCTTCATCTTCCCTAGCCAAGGGTTAATTAGGATCAACTCCCCTCCTCTCAATCCTTGGCAGATTACGTCAACATTTGCGAAGAGAGCCGTGGTGAAGTGGTTAGCGCATCGGACTTATAACACAAAGGTTCCTGGTTCGATCCCCGTTCCGGGGAAAAAATTTCAAGGATTGAATTTTCGGCTCTCACTTGAAACCATTTGCGAGTATGGTCTTGAGATACGATGATAGTTCGTCGTAAGTGGACGATGAATAGCTGACCCGTGTTAAGAGAGCCATATCTCTTGCACGTAAAAGACATCCTTGTAGATTTCGAAAAAGAGCAGGATAATGCCGTTACAAGGCAGCACTCGCACCCGCAAAGTGGAAAGGGATTAATAATAATCAATTACAATAACTTGTTTCCCAATCCACTATAAATAAATATGTTTAAACTAAATTTGTGATAACAATGTTGCGCCATCTATGGGTTGATTAAAGTTACGCCCATTCCGAATACAGTATTCCTGACCAATGGTAGCACTTCAACTATCTTCAGTGTGGAGGTGAAAACATGGCAACGTCTAGAGTTTACAAACTTGGTGAAGCAGGAAACGTAAATATACGTTGACATTCTAACATTTGTGCAAGAAACATACACAGGAACTTCTATTAGTTGATTAAGAACATTTAAATTGAACTAAATATCGTCGTATGTTTTCAGTGGTGAAGACTTGTTGCTCAATCAGCACGTGGAAATCGTTTACCTACATTTACACATGATCATGTTATAGGCCCTTTTTGATTGGATGCAGCCAGTTATGACTGCAATCAATGAAACTCATTAAGCCTACCTCGTGGATCCGAAATTCTCTCTTAATCCGCCAAGGGTGGAGAGGAGGGGAATATATCGTTAACCTTGGTTAGCGAAGATTAACAAGCTTTAAATTACAGCAAAAGGACAAATGTACACGATATAAAACAATTCAAATGAAAAAAAAACTAACAACCTGATTTATGGTAACATATTACATTTATGATTCACAGCAACAAACAACAACCACTAAATCGCACACATGCTCCTATTTTTAGACAGGCATATTGTAATACAGATCTTGGCGTGGTTAAACATGTTTACGGGAGCCATACCCTCTCCTTTTAAACATTGGACAGTGGTGTACATTTTGTAATAGCACAGCAGAGAAACAATCCATTAAAGTCAGTTGAAAAGTGCTCAACTCGTCATACAAATTAATAAATAGAAAAAAACAACTAACACTTCTCACAAAAAACCAAAAGACACAAAGCAAAGATTGGAGATCGAACTAGCAGCTACTGAAGACCAGTTCAAAGCCAATTGTGTCTTTGAAATGGAAAACAATTGTCCTGAGAGAACAATACCTTTACCCCATTAAACATGTGAAAAAACAGAATGACTGGTGCCTTATATTAAAATCAAAATCTAAACTGTCTGAAAAAAATGTATTACTGAAATTTAGCGTGTTTCTTCTACCTTTGCTTAAAACAGATGTTAGAAATCGACTACTAGTACTCATAAATAAAAGATGTGGGGGTATACATCAATGAGACAGACAGCATGTTCTACTTGTACTAGACTACTAGTACTCATAAATAAAAAATGTGGGGTATACATCAATGAGACAGACAGCATGTCCTACTTGTACTAGACGACTAATACTCATTAATAAAAGATGTGGGGTATACATCAATGAGACAGACAGCATGTTCTACTTGTAATAGACTACTAGTACTCATAAATAAAAGATAGGGGGTATACATCAATGAGACAGACTGCATGTTCTACTTGTACTAGACGACTAGAACTCATAAATTAAAGATGTGGGGTATACATCAATGAGACAGACTGCATCTTCTACTTGTACTAGACTACTAGTTAGTAGTACTCATAAATAAAAAAATGTGGGGTATACATCAATGAGACAGACAGCATGTCCTACTTGTACTAGACGACTAGTACTCATTAATAAAAGATGTGGGGTATACATCAATGAGACAGACAGCATGTTCTACTTGTACTAGACTACTAGTACTCATAAATAAAAGATAGGGGGTATACATCAATGAGACAGACTGTATGTTCTACTTGTACTAGACGACTAGAACTCATAAATAAAAGATGTGGGGTATACATCAATGAGACAGACTGCATCTTCTACTTGTACTAGACTACTAGTTAGTAGTACTCATAAATAAAAGATGTGGGGTATACATCAATGAGACAGACAGCATATTCTACTTGTACTAGACGACTAGTACTCATAAATAAAAGATGTGGGGTATACATCAATGAGACAGACAGCATGTTCTACTTGTACTAGACTACTAGTGTACTCATTAATAAAAGATGTTGGGTATACATCAATGAGACAGACAGCATTTTCTACTTGTACTAGACTAATAATACTCATAAATAAAAGATGTGGGGTATACATCAATGAGACAGACAGCATGTTCTACTTGTACTAGACTACTCATAAATGTACTATAGAATTACTCAAGCATGCAGAGTATTTTGCACCAAAACCGTGTGTACGAAATAGATATTTTACATCTAAAACAAAAAATTCTCTGAAATTGACATTATCAAGATGCTTGATTTCTTGATTGACAACATATTTGTTACGTTTGGAGGACGTGTTTTTCAACAAACTATCGGCATTCCCATGGGAACCAATTGCATGTGCCCCTCTTCTTGCCGACTTGTTCCTTTATTCTTATGAGGCTGATTTGATACAGGAAGCTAAAGAGGTTAACAATACCCTTTAACTTTACTTTCCGCTATAAAGGTGATGTTCTCTCACTAAATAATTCAAAATTTGGTGACTATGTTGAACATATCTATCCCATCGAACTAGAGATAAAGGATACAACAGATACAGTTAAGTCTGCCTCATTATGGCTCATATCTTGACTTGTATCTAGAAATTGACAATGAGGGTCGGTTGAAAACAAAACTTTACGACAAAAGAGATAATTTAAACTTCCCAATTGTGAACTTTCCATTTTTAAGTAGCAACATTCCAGCAGCGCCTGCAAACGGAGTATATATCTCCCAATCGATACGATTGTATTTCCTATCATGATTTCCTTGGTAGAGGGTTTCTGCTTACTAGGAAGCTATTAAACCGAGAGTTCCAAATGGTGAAGTTGAAACAATCCCTTCGTAAATTTTACGGACGCCATCATGAGTTGGTTGACCGCTATGGAATATCCGTTTCACATATAATATCGGATATAGATACATGTATACGATGATGTGGTAGGAGTGCCAATGAGACAATGTTCCTTAGTTATGTCGTAAATACAATCCCGTTCCCTTTTAACGAATTTGACCTACCGAATTAGACTATTTACCGGGTTTGTAATAACATGAGCAATACGACGGGTGCCACATGTGGAGCAGGATCTTCTTACCCTTCCAGAGCACCTGAGATCACCCCCAGTTTTTGGCAGGGTTCGTGTTGCTTAGTCTTTAGTTTTCTATGTTGTGTCGTTGTACTATTATTTGTCTGTTTGTCTTTTTCTTTTTTTTGCCAGGGCGTTTTCAGTTTATTTTCGAACTATGAGTTTGAATGTCCCTCTGGCATCTTTCGCCCTTCTTTTACGTGTTATAAACACGGGGTGTTAAAAGGTTTACCTCTCAACTTTGTTACTTGTTTTGCTTTCAGAGTCCTTTAAGAGCGCAGATACTGGAGATAAACCTTATTAGGATGTTAGAGGTAGAGGATTTAGTAGCAATCAATGGTACTCTACAGAGACCGAGAGGAAAACAGACAACTAGTACAACACTTCACAAATGTGATGTTTGTGCTAAAGAATTTAGCCTATGTAGTGACTTAAAGAGACATGTGAGAACACATACTGGTAAAAAACCTCATAAATGTGATGTTTGTGCTAAAGAATTTAGTCTAGGTAGTGACTTAAAGAGACATGTGAGAACACATACTGGTAAAAAACCTCATAAATGTGATGTTTGTGCTAGAGAATTTAGTCTAGGTAGTGACTTAAAGAGACATGTGAGAACACATACTGGTAAAATACCTCATAAATGTGATGTTTGTGCTAGAGAATTTAGTCTAGGTAGTGACTTAAAGAGACATGTCAGAACACATACTGGTAAAAAACCTCATAAATGTGATGTTTGTGCTAAAGAATTTAGTCTAGGTAGTGACTTAAAGAGACATGTGAGAACACATCCTGGTAAAAAACCTCATAAATGTGATGTTTGTGCTAGAGAATTTAGTCTAGGTAGTGACTTAAAGAGACAGGTGAGAACACATACTGGTAAAATACCTCATAAATGTGATGTTTGTGCTAGAGAATTTAGTCTAGGTAGTGACTTAAAGAGACAGGTGAGAACACATACTGGTAAAAAACCTCATAAATGTGATGTTTGTGCTAGAGAATTTAGTCTAGGTAGTGACTTAAAGAGACACGTGAGAACACATACTGGTAAAAAACCTCATAAATGTGATGTTTGTGCTAGAGAATTTTCCCATGGTAGTTTCCTAACTAGACACATGCTAGTACATACTGGAGATAAACCTCATGACTGTGATGTATGTGGTAAAAGGTTTGGTCAGCATAGCAATTTACAGACACACATGAGAACACATACACTTGATAAACCTTATAACTGTGATGTATGTGGTAAAGGGTTTAGTCAGCAAAGTAATTTATCGACACACATGAGAACACATACAGGTGATAAACCTTATCAATGCAATGACTGTGATAAAGGGTTTAATCATCCTAGTAATTTACAACGTCACATGAGAATACATACAGCTTATAAACCTCATAACTGTGATGTATGTGGTAAAGGGTTTAGTCAGCTTTGGAATTTACAGACTCACATGAGAACACATACAGGTGATAAACCTCATGATTGTGATGTGTGTGGTAAAGGGTTTAGTCGGCTGGGGAGTTTACAGATTCACATGAGAACACATACAGGTGATAAACCTCATGATTGTGATGTGTGTGGTAAAGGTTTTAGTCGGCTTTGGAATTTACAGACTCACATGAGAACACATACAGGTGATAAACCTCATGATTGTGATGTGTGTGGTAAAGGGTTTAGTCACGGTAGTGACTTTAAGAGACACATGAGAACACATACAGGTGATAAACCCCATGATTGTGATGTGTGTGGTAAAGGGTTTAGTCGGCTTGATAATTTACAGACACACATGAGAATACATACAGGTGATAAACCTCATGAATGTGACATGTGTGATGTGTGTGGTAAAGGATTTAGTCACGGTAGTGACTTTAAGAGACACATGAGAACACATGCAGGTGATAAACCCCATGATTGTGATGTGTGTGGTAAAGGGTTTAGTCGGCTTGATAATTTACAGACTCACATGAGAACACATACAGGTGATAAACCTTACGAGTGTGATGTGTGTGGCATAGGGTTTAGTCACGGTAGTGACTTTAAGAGACACATGAGAACACATACTGGTGATAAACCGTATGACTGTTATGCATGTTGCAGAAAGTTTAATCATCCCAGTAATTTAAAACGTCACATGAGAACACATACAGGCGATACACCTAAGGGTTTAGTCGCCTTGCCTATTTACAAAAATACATGAGAACACATACATGAACAACTGATGTATGTTGTAAAAGGTGAATTAAAGAGACACATGAGAACACATAACCATAATCATTGGTGAAAAAACCCAAGACTGGAATATATGTTGTAAAAAGATTGTTCATGAGAACACACGCAGGTGATAAACCTCATAACTGTGATGTATGTGGTAAACGGTTTGGTCGGCTTGGTAATTTACATCCTCACATGGGAACACATACAGCTGATAATAAACCTCATGACTGATGTTTGTGGTAAAGATTAAATTCGTCTTTAAATTAGTAATTTACAGATTTACAGGAGAACAGATACAGTTGAAAACTGCATGACTGTAATGTATGTGGTAACAAGTTTAGTCATCTTAGTAATTTACAAAGTCACATGAGAACACATACAGGTTAAAAACCTCATAACTCTGGCAAAAGGTTTAGTCACGTGTGATAAACATGATAAACAATGCATGTGGTAAAGGGTTTAGCCGACTTCGTCAGGAACAGAGATACATGAGAACACATACTTCACATGAACATGATAAATATGATATTTTTTAAATGGTATCGTCGGCTTACATTCTGTATACGTTCCTGTCCCAGTTGAGGAGCCACAGTTATTAGATACATGTAGTTGTCATTATATTTGTTTTTCGTTGACTGTAATTTTGACGTGAAATGAAAGCTAAAAGGTATGAGATCACTAGTACCCCTGTTGAAAATTTCTTAAAATATAAAATTAAGATACTAGTCTGAGGGCAAATTTGACCTGCTGTTCAGATCAGAAATACCTGTTTCATACTTCTAAACTTCCGGGAACCAGTGCGCTCTATTCATGCTAGAATATTGTTTTTCTTATATTGTTTAACATTTCACAGCGGTATACCATGTTACTTTAATTATTCTTCCCTTAGTTTATTTTTTTTGTATTTACATTGTATCATAAATCAAATTTATTTGTTCAGTGTATGTTCACTGGTGTTAATATGTCTTTTGATTGAGTTAAGCCATTTCAATTGATATTTTATAGTGTGTCTTTCTATGTTGTGATGTTACACTATTGTTTCAGATAAGGGTGAAGGTTTGGTACCATTATAACGTTTAAACCCGCTGCAATTGTTAGCACCTGTCCTAAGTCAGTAATCTGATGTTCAGTAGTTGTCGTTTGTTGATTTGGTTCACAAGTGTTTCTCGTTTCTCGTTTTTTATATAGATTAGACCGTTGGTTTTCCCGTTTGAATGATTTTACACTAGTAATTTTTGGGGCCCTTTATAGCTTGATGTTCGATGTGAGCCAAGGGTCCGTATTGAAGACCGTACTTTGACCTATAATGGTTACTTTTATAAATTGTTACTTGGATGGAGAGTTGTCTCATTGGCACACATCTTCCTATATCTATAACATGCAATCAAAGATCTGTTGCATTTTTCCGCACATGTCAAGGTAAGATTAAGCTTTGACATGACATGTCTATTTGAACTTGAGACAAAATAGCTATGAATGGTATAAATTGCTGAATTTGACAAAGAAAGGAATGGAGGTGTGCAGTCGTGGTTTTATTCCACAAGAGGGTCAAAGGAATAATTGCATACAAATTACAATTATAGAACGAAGTTTCCGTCTGTCATTTGTCCATGACCTCAAATTGAATAGTATTTTTGCCATGTGAATTATTCACTTTATATTGTGAGTAAATATAACTGTATTTGACATAAGTGTTCCTTGCATGGTCTACATATCCGTCAGACTGGGTTCACCAGATCTCATTTCATGGATCAGTTGGCAAGGTTAAAAAACGTGATAAGGTCCGTCTATCAAATAAAGGCAACAGTAGTATACCGCTGTTCGAAATTCATTCATCGATTGAGAAAAAAACAAATCCGGGTTACAAACTAAAACTGAGGGAAACACATCAAATATAAGAGAACTACGACACAACAGAAACACAACATTAAAATGTAACACACACAGAAACGAACTATAATATAACAATGGCCATTTTCCTGACTTGGTACATGACATTTAAAAAAAAATGGTGGGTTGAACCTGGTTTTGTGGCTAGCCAAAACCTCCCGCTTTTATGGCAATGGTACATATAACATTAAAATGACAACATTACATGACAGGACTATAATACAAATAAATGGGAGAACATATAGGACAGAGAAACATACGAATAATAGCTAACAAAAGGTACCAGGTTTAAAATTTAATACGCAAGGCGCGCGTTTCGTCCACACAAGACTAATCAGTGACGCTCAGATCAAAAAAGTTCGAAAGCCAAAACAAGTACAAAGTTGAAGAGCATTGACGACCAAAAGTTCCAAAAAGTTGTGCCAAATACGGCTAAGGTTATATGTCTGGGATAAGAAAATCCTTAGTATTTAGAATAATTCATACTTTTGCAAACAGTAAATTTATAAAAATGACTATATAATAGATATACACCGAAGTGGTGACTAACTACAGAATAAAAACGGATACATAAAACAACATAAACCAGCACATACAAATTTACAGCCGTATTGACTTCTATTTCATATTTCCACTCAACAGAAAGTAATACTCTATTACACTCTCATGAAAAAAAAAGTTCCACGACAAAATTATTTACCTACGAAAATATAAATTTAACCCCACACGCCCCAGCCAATTGATAACATTGCTGAATAATGATCCCCAGTCAGTAAGCTCTAGATATATTTAAAGTCTAAGGTACGGACCATTTGATTTGATAGGGCAGTCTGAGATATTTTAGAGAAAAAAATTCTGACCCCGATATTTGCCTTAAAAAACAAAAATTCTGGTCGTATCTGTAATGACAACAAAAATCGTGTCCCCTTTTTTGCTATAAGAAAAGAAAATCCAACAGAATTAATCAGCATTAAATGAACATGGTGAATAAAAAACGGGCGTAATCTTTTTTTTTTTTTTGGGGGGGGGGGGGGGGGGGTTGCATGTAAATCCCATATCTGACCGGAATGTCTGTTTCGCCGAACTGATATACTAAATACTTTTTCAAGGCCCAGCTGCAACCTGCCTGCTGGGTGTGGACTTTATGTCTCCATTTGTCGACCGTCATTCACAACTTTGTTGTCATTTGATTTTCAGACTCATTCGTAGCCTTTGGTTGATTTGGAACCCCTCACTTCCCTTGTTGAGTGAAACATTTCAACCAAACATTTGGATAAGTAATCTGTGAGGTTATACTAACTAACCATACAACAAACGAGAATTTTCCAAGTCCATTTTTACTGACAAATCCCACATCAAATATATTAGTACATAGCTTTAGATCCATTCAATCATTTTATAATAGACAATTAATGGGGAGAATGCGGCATCAAAAATGTCCAACCCAAGCTTACACTTTTAACTATAAAATATACATACCCCACGTTAGGAACCGTCACTTAAAATGTGCATTTTACACTTATTTTATGTTTTTTAGCCCCAAAAAGGTCCAAAAAATTTTACTTACTACGCCCCCCCCCCTTTTTCCAAAATCCTGGATCCGCCCCTGATGTCAGTGTTTCTTCTAAATCAAACTGTAAACCAAATATATCGTATAAATTTAGTTGACTTAAACTAAAATCTAAGTAATGAACTGGGTAATTAATTATCTTTACTGTAACACACGAATACAACAGAAAAAAAAATAAGATTTACAACTACAAACGATAAGACATTTGACAAAATCCGATGAGAATACCAAATATAACATCAAAACTAAATACATGAATTTTGAATAGAAAAGTACCGTGACACGTCTTATAGCAATGCGAATTCACATTCAGCAAAACAGTCGCAATCGGGAATTAGTCACGTTCGGTAATTAAAAGATCAGACGACGTAATGTCAAACCACAATCTGACACGTGGTAAAAATGTCCTTAATTAGTTTGGACAAAGACATATCGTATGGATCGACCAATTCGTGATGGTGTCCGTAAAATTTACGGAGTGTCATTTTTAATCTGTCGTCCTCATAACTTTGTTGGAGCAGTTTCTGCGTTAGGAGCACATTCATGTATATGAAGTCCGTATAGTGTGAACATGCACGAGCAAAACGTATCAACTGAGATATGTAAACACCATACGAAGGGGCAGAGGGTATGTTACTGCTGAGAAATGGGAAATTGATAATTGGGAAGTTGAAAATCGTCCCGTTTATCATAGATTTTCGTGTGAAGTCGTCCATGTGTGTCAATATTGAGGAAAAGATCAAGGTATGAAGCAGTCCTTCTAGTATCAGTTATATCCTTAATTTCAAGTTTACTGGGATATATGAGATGTAAGTATTGGCTGAAGTGTGGGTTATTCAATGATAGGACATCATCAATATACCGGAAAGTAAAATTAAAGAATTTCGCAAGGTGCATTTTCTTTTTGTCTTTTAGAAGGTTCTGAATGAATTCTGCTTCATACGAGTACAAAAACAAATCAGCCAGTAGGGGTGCACAATAAGTACCCATTGGAATACCGACTGTCTGTTGAAATATAAATCCTCCAAACTCAACAAATATTTTGTCTATCAAAAAGTCCAGCATTTTGATAATATCATCTTCAGTATATTTTCTGGTAGATTCAGTGTGGTTTTTCACAAAATATGAATTATTGTAACCCAAAACAAGAAATTTGTATCTACGATTCCCATTTTTATAGAAAAAGCTCTGTTTATTGAGATGATGAAGTCGATCTTTCAACTGAGCATGGGGAATAGTAGTGTAAAGCGTAGAAAAATCAAAAGTCTTTATGTTGCTGCAAAATTGCAAAGATTGTGTTTGAAAATTAAGCAGTAGATCTTTCGAATTTTTGAGAATCCACATCTGGTTAACACCACTGGTAGAATATATCTCATCACAATAATTTCAATGCCCATCTTTAACTGTAGAAGAATAGTAGCCAGTACTTTAGAAAGATGTTTAGTCGAACATTTTGATGACCCAGCTATGTATCGTTCTTTATATGGAGTTTTGTGAAGTTTTGGTATCCAGTATAATGATGGTAAATTTTCTTTGTTTTCTTTGATGTTGATACCAAAAGAAAGAAGG